CCTATCTTGTGATGATAAAGATAGATTATCAGTTCAAGTAAAACATATTGTACTATTAAAATCAAAGATAACACAATTTTTATTAAAAAGGAGAATTTATGAAATTTGAGATTAATTTAGCGTACGTACTTTGTACAAGTGCATAATTGCAATCGAGATTCTCATCCTCATCCTCGTCCTCGTCCTCGTTTTCACGTTCATCCTCCTCCTCAAATGGAGGATCCAATACAGAAACTGGACTGCATTGCTCTTTATCTTCTTCTTCTAGTTGCTCAATACTTGCCAACCCTAAAATTGTTTCATAATTTTCTTTGTCCTAACACACAAAACTCAAATTAATATAATCTTCCAATTTAGTTAAAAAAAACTACTAACGTAATATAGTTCTAGCTGAATTAAACCTGTTATTGAATGAGATATTCATTCAATTTTAACTGTCGTTTTAACTCTTTTCACGTTTCGTTAAAAAAAGAAAATAGGGCTGACTTTTAGTTCAAGACAAGTTTAAATTCATGAACAAGCATACGACCAGAATTTAATGATAAAATTGTCTTTTTGTGGGTCAGAAAATTTAAAATGACAATAAAATTTATTGTCATTTTCCTTGTAAGTACTATTTTCCAGACAAGGCCTAATAGAAAAAAAATATTTTATATTGGCAGAGGCGTGATTTCAAGTACGCTTACCAAAACATGCATAAAATTCCATCGTATTTAAATTGCGATAAATTTAAATTTATATTATGATAAAATATTTTTATTGAATATAACACTTTACGCACTTTTATATTTAGAGCTCGAATTTAATGTCTAATTAAAGATGAATAATAGCACAACCTATTGTTATCCTACTTCTTCATAGGAAAAGCAAAATAATTATTCTATAATTACTTCCTTCGTTCAGAATTATTTGTCATGTTACACTTATCGAAAGTCAATTTGACAAATTTTTAAAGGTGAATTAGATCATATTAATTTAATATTTTAAACAAAAAAATTAGATATCCTAAAACTATATGAAAAGTACTATAAATTATATTTTTTTTATATTAATATAATACAAAAAAGTATTTTAAAATGTTAGTCAAAATTTTTATAGTTTAACTCTAAAAATAAAAATCATGACAAATAATATCGGACAGAGAATATTATATTATATGAGTGATTTAAACTAATTGATGTACACTTATCCAATCGGAAAACCTTATTAATATAATGATTTCGATAATTAGAAATCGATATATTCATAATCAAATCAATATATTGTTGAGTAATACAATTATATATTTGAAACTTTTTATAAGTTATTTTCTTCGTTTCAATTTATATTATTGGACGATTTTTTTTTAGTATGTTCAATAAAATCACAATTTTATAATTTGGTCGGTTCAAAAAATAAGTCTCAGTTATAATTAAGAAAAGCTTAATTTTTTTTTCTCTTTAATAAAATTATTGTTATTATCATTTTTACATAGGTTAAATTAAAAAATTCAGCAAATCAACTAACTGAATTAGTAAAATTCGTCACACAAATATATAGTACTATATTTATTTTAACTCATAATTTAAAAAAAAACGCAAAATTTATGTAAAATTATATATTATCACATGATTTAATTTTTTTTACGAAAAAGAGTACTATACTTTGAGACTTGGTATAGTAAAAAGTTTAGGTTTTTAATATTATTAATTAAAGTAAATTAAATTATGTAAAAAAGATTTTTATTAATACTATTTAGAGTCATAATGACTCACGGATAGTAACTGACAAAAGTAAAAAAGACAAACCTCTTTCGTGTGATACACCGGGGAAGCCGCCGGAGATGTGAATCCCGGCAATAGTTCGCCGGAGCTCGACGGACATCTTTGAAGAGAAAATCGAAAAGGACTTAACGGAGACGAACCAAAATCACCATAATTCTCCAAATCCATTAACTTCTCTTCACTGATTTCAGTGTTAACTCTGCTATTAATACACGAACATGTAAAACTTTTTTCACCATTTTTATCGCTATTTCGATTCTTCAATTTCTTCAAAATAGACCCAAAACCCCCAAATTTCACCTTTTTGATTTGGGTTTTCGATTTTGATGAACTCTGTTGTTTTTGAATCCTAATTGCAGCTTCAAGAAGCAGAGCAGCTGTTGTTGCAGGTACATTAAGAACAAATTTCTCAATTTCCGGGCTCTTCGCCGGCGCCGGCGAAGATAAACACAAAGGGGATTTTCTTAACTCCGGTGATTCTCCAAAAGAGAAAAAACAAGTATTTTTGCATAATTTAGATGGTGGTTTTTGATCATGAAAACGTTTATTAGCAATGTAAAATGGTTCTTGATCTTCTTCTAAAAGCTCATGCAAATGCTTCAATGCCATAATTCAACCACAAAAAAAAATATGAAATTTTTGAGTTAAAATTCAAGATTTTTATAAAGGGGTTTTGAGTTTTTAAAGCATAAAAGAATTCAACCTAAAAAAAAATACAAGTAAGAGGGTGATTTATAAGATCGAGGCTTATAATTTAATTTAGTATAATGTTGGTGAATGGTGAAACAAACTAATTTTACCTATAAAAAAAATGACAAGAAAAGAGTAGTCTGAATGTAATATTTGGTATTTTTTTTTTTTTGATTCAATAATTGAAATGGCTGTAACTGTAGTTGTAAGACTCTGTGTATTTTTGTGTAGCAGAAACAGATGGCAAGTTTGTGATAACTAGTTGCATAGGACACTATTAATTAGCACAAAAAAATGGCTCTTTCTGTCTCTATATTATGTGTGCGTGTGGGTGGGAATTTCAAGGAAATGCAGGGATTAGGAAACACAGTAGATACAAGTGATTTTTTTTTATGATAGTGTTGTTCGAACCAATTTTTTTATATTTCAACTTATTATATGAAATATCTATCAATAATATGTAGTATTATTAGGTAATTCTCTCCTTAAAAAATTAAGATAATTGAGAAGAATCATCTAGTTATTTAATTTATCGTGAAGAGTCAGAAACACTTTTAAAATTCTCATTTTTTTGTGAGTTTTGTGGTTCCGGTTTAGGTTATTACTATAAAATATATTTCGATATTAAATTACTTAGATATTTAATCTTGAATCGATAATAAAATTTATATAAATTAATTTAATGATAGCTCAGATATGAAATTCACGATAAGATAATAATTTAGGTAGATATATATATATATATATATATATATAGAAGGGAGCAATGATAGTTTAGGGCCTAGTACTTTTTCGGTGAATTTATTGCAGTTTTTCTGCAATTCGAAGACAAAAGGAAGGCAGCTAAGTCACGGAATACTCGAAGAGCGCTCAACTTTTATGAATCACTTACACCTATGCCATAACTTTTTATTTTTTAAAAAAGTTTGATATATTTTTTAATTTTAATATTTAGAGTTGATATATTTTGTTATAAAAATAGTTTATATATATTTGTACAATTATAATCAATATAGTGTATTTAATTTCAATAGATGAAGGGCAAATGTGAAGTTATATTGTAATAGGTATATGTGGTTATTTGTGCAACATTAAAGATATATATATGTGTCACTTTTACTGTTTTTTTTAGTTAAAAGTAAAAAAAAAAAGAATTGCAATTAGTAAGATTCGAAGTATTTGTGTGTCTTTACTCTTTTCATGTACCTAAAATCACTGAGTTACATTATATTATTATGTTAATAATATCCAAAATATGTTAGTTAACCCCACTATTTATTATTTATTTGTATATACGATATAATTATTTCGACGAATTCATTATCCAGTTGAACACCTTGACATAAGAATAGCCAAAAATATTATATATTGAGATATGATTCCGTATCTAAAAGAAGTTGAACACAAAGTCTATTAAAAATAAAAAATTACTTATCGTTCTATCATAAATTTATCGATACATTTCACCATTGCTACTTGCTATTGCTAGCATCAGCTCAATCACTTTTACTTTTTACATACATGTGAATTTGTAATTTTTAACTGCGTTATTATTATTTTTAAGTAAAATAATATTATCTTTAATACAATCTAAATTCAGTTATAAGTTTGTCGATTCTTCTCTTTTAACTCGCTCTTTGTCATGGTAGAGCATCATAATGTCAATTGTCACCTTTAACGTATTGATATATTTTTAAAATTATAATAGTAATGAATTAAATTTTTATATATAGAAAACTCAAAAGTAAATTTACTAATATATGATGGCTGTTGATTAAATTATGAAAAAAGTATTTCGAATTTTTGGAGGAAGGATTAGAAAATAAATTTATTGAAGTGTAATTTTCATCGTTTGATTAAAATATTTCCATAACATCATCAAAATCCCTTAAAACAAGGAGGGTAATCTTCATCACCTCAGCCACCACATAAAAATAATTACTATTCGTGTCCCAATAAAAGCTTCTCAAGCTACTCGTGAGTGGTCCTAGATGAAGTCATCGTAATGATTACATGGTTTCTTCGGTACTGTATTTACTTTTTCGAGATAAGAATAAGATTTGTGTATATATTATTTTTTCAAACTCTACTTATGAAATTATACTGAATATGTTATTGATATAGTGGCTCAGTTACTTTAGAGGATGGTTATCCATACGGATGACTCTAAATCGAACCTCCCTCATTAATGTCTTCTGAGTCGAGCCTGTCGCATAGGATTTGTCTAGTACGATTTACATCCCCTATGTGGTTTGCCGGTTATTATATAGTGGGTGGTTTACCCAATGCGCACAAAGTGGTTGTGGCAGAGGTTGTAGCGACTGCGAGTTATCCTGGAATTCCAAAAAAAAATAAAGATTATGCCACACAATCTCGTGTGGGTACTCACCCCAAAATCCCATTAAGTGGGGGTCCACGGAAGACAAACCTTATTACTAGTAACCTTTGTGGAGACAGAGAAGTTGTTTTCTAAAGACTTTGAACTCTAGTGCATCAAACCCAAGATAAAAAAAAGAGAGAAGAAAACAATGAAAGAAAGCATACCAGTTAGTATGAAAAGTAGCGTAGAGCCTATAAGACAGAAACAATACCACGTGACAATCGAAACGCAATACGCAACGTATGCTTGAAAGATGGCAAAAGCAGGGCATGAAAGCACTCTACCCCTAAAGACTATGACTACTATTATTTGAATAAAGCTAAAGCATAATCTTGTGTTGGTTCAAAACATTGACAAAAAACACTTTCTTCAGGACCAAAACTTCATAATGCATACAAACCATTTCAATGCATCAGTTGTTGGAAAGCTTCATTGAGAGTCTCCACAACACACACATAACCAAGACTCTCAGCTCGACCCCGGAATTCATCAACCTCATTCTGTGGAACTTGGAGTCCGATTAGCACATTCCCGCCAGTTTCTCCCTTTCAAATAGAAGACGAAAACAAATTGCTTGAATAAATACTGGCAGAGCAGAAAGACTACAAGGTAGTACCAAAAAACGAACAATGTAACAATGAGATTTCTTGTAAAAGGTACCTGTGCATGGTAATGTAACAAACTTATATTCCAACGTGGGCTGAAAGCGTCTAAAAACTTCATCAAAACACCAGGTTTGTATGGGAAAATGAATCGACAGAGATGCTCATTGTGGACATCTGATCTCCCACCTATCTGCAACAAATTATAGCAGAGATAGAGAGTATACGAGCCATCAATATCCAATGATCACCACAATCATCCGTTAAAAACAAATTAGAACGAAAGGAAGCACATCAATCCTTAATTTATTAGTATAGTCAATAACGATAGTAGCATAGCAGTAAAACGTTCCAAACAACTAATAGTCACAACACAAACAAACATATTTACTGTTTTGTCGAAAAATAGATTCATCATGATAGTAAGAAGAGATATGAAAATAGTACCAGATGTCTTAGATGATCTTTAACCAATTCATTATCTGTATAATTAATCGTATGCAGTTGTTCTAATTCCATCCTGTCCACCATTTCTTCAAGTTCTACTTTCGTGTGAAGACCAATTCTGTCATATGAAAAGAATGACATAATAATGAATATATCTACGAATTCATAGATGTCCCTTCAACGATATGATCAGTTAACGTTACCTGTAAAATACTCGAGCATTTTCTTTCTCAGAATCATATCTATACTTCAATTCCGTAATATTAGTTTGTCCCACCATCTCATAGAACTTTTTGAAGCTGCCTCGTTCTTCAGGCAGATAAGTAGCGAGAACAGCTTCCCTCTGTCTACCAACATCCGCGAGTTCAGTTACCAATCTAAGTCTGTCAAAGTTCATGTTGGCTCCACTAGTTATTGCTACGATGTTTTCTCCCTTCACGCCATAGTACTTACAGTATGCTTCAGCTCCAGCTAGGGCAAGTGCACCAGCCGGCTCCAGTATGCTTCTTTTCTCTTCGAACATGTCCTGTTCAAAACACGACTCAACAGTCACATCAGAAGATACAAAATTCACATACTAAAAAGTAACATAGCATAACAATATGTTAGTGCTGACTAACCTTTATCGATGCACTTATAGAATCATGATTAACTAGGACGATCCCATCTATTAGTTCCCTGCAGAGACGAAAACTTTCTTCACCAACCATTCTAATAGCTACTGCATCTGCAAAAGATCCAACTTTTTCCAGCATTACTCTTTGACCGTGGTGTAATGCCAACGCCATTGAATTGGAATCGACTGGCTCAACACCAATAATCTTCGTATCAGGGGAGACTTTTTTCATATAAGCAGCAATGCCAGCTATAAGACCTCCTCCACCAATAGGCACAAATATCGCGTGTATCTTATCTTTGAATTGGCGGTTAATCTCCATTCCAACCGTACCTTGCCCTATTATGATATCAGGGTGATCAAAGGGAGAAACGAATGCACGTCCTTCTTCTTTGCCCTGAGCTACAGCATATGCTTGTGCTTCTTCGTATGTATCCCCCACACGAACAACAGTAGCGCCCAATCTCTCAACTGATTTCCACTACAAAAAAACGGATAAATTTATTATTAAAAGAACAGGATGAAATCAAATAGGAAGCTATAAGTAATTCAACAATACTAACTTTAATTTCTGGCGTAGTAACGGGCATCACAATCACAGCATTGCAGCCGAGTTTCTTGGCAGCTAAAGCAACACCTTGTGCATGATTTCCCGCTGATGAGCATATAACGCCCTTTTCTAACTGCTCCTTCGAGAGTTTTGCCATCATATGATAAGATCCTCTGACCTTAAATGAGAAGACCTGCCAATATGAGTATACGACAACGATTGTGAGTCAAAAGGCTCAAAATTGGATAAGTCCAAAACATATACAAACTCAATGCTTGGTTGAGCTGAACATGAAACTAGGCAGCTATCGTAATCATAAACTCGAGTAAATGATCAGGGAATAAATTCATGTTCTGAATCCAAAATCAATCAGAGTTATCACGACACACCATAGTTAATACAATCTCACATAAATTGTAAACAATAGTATATCTATGCCAAAAGATTACTGGTGTGAATTCAGGATTTAAAGTTTACAGGTGCAACATCACATTGTTATTTACAAGCTCCAAATAGGGTAAATATTTGATCAATTTTGGGGCTTCAATCCAGGTCATTCATCTTTTTGATTCATATAGACAAATCAATCAAACGAAACTTTTTTTTTTTATGAATAACAATCTTTCAACAATATGAGTAATATCATGAATATACAACATTCATATATATATATATATTATTTGTTTTATGATCACGATATCTATGCCAACAACTCCAACACGATATCTACACAATCCATAAAAACAACGATATCCATACAATCCATAAAAACATCATGAAAAATGCAAATCAAAACCAAAAATCAATAAAATTGAGTATTAAAAATTATACCGGATGTAGATCTTCACGTTTGAGCCATACAGTTACCCCTAACCTCTCTGATAACTTATGTGCACGCTGCAATGGCGTCTCTTCAGCTAATTCATATACTTTAGATGTCAATATCTCTTTAACATAATTATATCCGATTTCACCACGTGGATAATTCGGTAACAGAAAACCTTCCTCGCACTGTAACGAACTCGGATGTACTACTGGTATCAATGTATCATCACTCTTCGAAATTTGCAGTGGCTCTGCTGCCGTAACAACAGCCGCTGGTTTAGTAATGGTAGCACTAATAAACCTAGTTCGTTTTGTTTTTAATTTTGCTCCAGGTTTAATGGCGTCGAAACGAACGACTGTAACTGTTGTGCTGGCGGTGAATGTTGCTCCGGTGAATCGGAGAACGTCCATGATTGTTGAGGTAGAAAGAAGGAAAAAAATATTTTTTTTATATATATAGATAAAAGAGTAACGGATTTAATCCTATAATATGGGGCTTAATCCTCTCAAAACACAGTATCAAATATCTTTCTATATTCCTTTTTTTTCTCTACCTGTAATTCATTAACAAGGTTTTTTAATTGTTTTCACCATAATTTATTTATATATTTTTTAATTTATTAATAAACAACTCTATTGTATTATTTGGTACTTTTTTTTTCTCTTACTGTAATTCATTAATAAGGTTTTTAATTGCTTTCACCATAATTTTTTTTTCTCTTTTATCTCAAACTAATTAGTATTATCCCAATAATATTCTTTAATAGATATTTAAGATTATGTCTAATCATATCATGAAAATAGATTTTTAAAAACTTTTAGTATTGGAATAATTTTTATTGAGAGTTTTAAAAATTGTGTACATATGAATCGAATTGTGAACATGAGAAGAAATAGGATTTTAAAGTTTTTTTTTTTCATTTCAAATATTGAACTACATTGCTTTTTCTCTACCCTAGATCTTCTTTACCTATGTTTTACATAATATAACGTAGTCATGTAGGATTTCTTTATATTATAGTTTATGCAATTAATGTTAACAAATAATTATCTTCTTGCAAAAAGAGTAGAAACCAAAAATAATTTATTTTTTTACTAAATATTATTTAACCATCTAACAATTACATTAGAAATCAAATTTATATTTAAAATAATCGAGAATATTAACAATTTAATTTTTTTTTCCAAAGATTGATTTTCATGTTATATTTTACTTTACTATAACAAACATTCCATTTATAATGTGGCATAATTATAATACGAAGCAAAAAGTCCTCATTTTGCTCATATTAAGAATGGAGCTATTCATACGATTCTACTCAACCACAAATTTGTTCATATACTCACTCATTTACAAACAAATTAAAACAATAAGTGTAATATCAATGGTAACTACTTTCAAGCTCATCCAGACAAAATTCACAAACAAAAAAAAATTGTACAACATGTGATTTAACTTAAACAAACTGAAATTGGTGCTGATACTGAACTAGAATTTAGAAAAATACACACACAAAAATAATTATTATGGATAGATGTGAGTCGAGTAGCGTTGGTTCGTCGTGTGAAGAAGGCAATTACAATAGCTCAGATGAAGCATTCAAACCTGTTCCTTTTGTTCGCATCCTTTGGATTGATAATTCTGGCATTCATAGATGTCGTGTAAGTGATTTTCAGATATTATAGTTACGTGATTTAATGGGGCGTGTTAATTAATAATGACTAAATGCACATGTCATATTGATCTGATGTAAACATCGGGTAGGACTACAAGAGAGAAAATGATATTTCAGAATTCTCTGGTTGATTATGGTTTAAATAGTCTATATATACACATCCTATGTAAGAGATCGAAAAGAGAATCATTGGACCAAGTTCTCGTGGTCAGACTTACTTTTGATTCGTATTAGAGTTAGACTCATCCTAATTCGTGATCTATTTGATGTTGAGTCTACATCTTCTATTGTCCACGTTTCATTTGTCCAATCCTAGACGTGCAGGGGTACGTGTTGAGTTCCCAACTCACAAATTGATGGATTATTTGTTCATCTTGGGCAATTCTCATCTCATGAGCGAGTTGAGTTAGGTCCAAATGCTGATTGAATATTATTCACTTATGTGAATCTATTACAGGTTATTCCAAGAGAACGTCTCAGCTTCGTGAAAAAACATGGTTTAGGATTAAGTCCTGCATGTCTTGCTGCACTCAGTTCAGTATCTAACTGCCCCGCGGAGGGTTCTAATCTCGGATTTACAGGCATGATCAGAATTATTCCTGATTTATCAACCAGATGCAAAATCCCCTGGTACTAATTTATGTTTTGGTTCTGGTTTATCTAAGTACATTAGGTTGTTTTTATCAATTTCGTTGATAGAAATAACACAAAAATGTCCTGTATTCTAAGGACCAGAACTCAATAGGTTCTGTTCCAAATGATGGGCTACAGTGTATATATATTTTTTTATGTGGTTACCAGAAACGTAGAGGTAGGCCGAAGTATAATTGGAGAGAGGTAATTAAACAGGACATGACACGTCTACAGCTTACTGAGGACATGATCCTATATAGGAAGATATAGAGGACGAGATTAGGGTAAAAAGTTAGTAGATAGTCGAGCTTTCTCTAAATTTTACTTATCAGTGTTGTTGTTATTACTCTTCTTCATTGATTTCGACACAACTATATTGATTTGTAATCGTGTTTGAAGTGGATATGTATCTTTTGATCCAGGGAAAAACAACAGGAAATGACATTAGCAGACATGTGTATTGAACCAGATAAACCATGGGAATATTGTCCAAGAGAAGTATTTCGAAGAGTCACTAAAATTTTAAAAGATGAATTCGACTTGGTATGGCTAGCTAGCTAGTATTTTTCGTTGCAACAGTCGAAAAGTCCTTATTGATCTGATACATATGTGCATGTTTCAGGTTGTGAATGTAGGGTTTGAAATCGAATTTTACCTATTGAAGAGTGTAGTAAAGTATGTTACTCATTTTCATGTTCATTTTTCTCATCTTTTAAACTGTTAACACGAAATTTGTATGAATGAAATTACATAAAGGAATGGCAAAGAAGAATGGTTACCAATCGACAAGACCTCGTACTGTTCTACATCTGGATTTGATGTTTCTTCATCGATCTTAGAAGATATCGTTACTTATCTTCAAACGATAAATATTACAGTCGAACAGGTAAGTTACCTTTTAAGACAGAAAATTAACTCACAAAGTTTCAGTCCAGTATAAATAGTTCCTCTTTTTGTATATTTCAATTATGCAGGTACACGCGGAAACTGGAAAAGGTCAGTTTGAAGTTGTACTGGGATACGCGGAGGCTAGTACAGCAATTGCTAGCTTAATTTATGCGCGTGAAGTCATCAAATCAGTCGCTAGACAACACGGGCAGATGGCAACTTTTGTTCCAAAGTAGGTAGAAGATTTACCCTCTTAACACTTCCAAATTCTATAGTACTAATGATTAAAAATAGGACGCGTTTTACACCAGCAGATCACTTAAAAGATAACTGTTAAAATATTGTTCCTGATGCACAATTGAGAACAATGGATTCAAATAATCCTCGAGGAGGTAGAGAGATTGTTTCTGATACTGATGTCCTTAAAAGTATGTGACGTTCTTGGCCTATTTTAGGTATGCAGAGGATGAAGATGGCTCGGGATCACATGTCCATATCAGTTTGTCGAGGAATGGAGAAAACGTTTTTATGGCATCTGGTGATTCAAAATATGGAATGTCAAAGATCGGAGAATCGTTCATGGCTGGAGTGTTAAATCACCTTCCAGCCATATTAGCATTTACTGCAACACATCCTCTTAGGTAAGTCATTTTTGATACTGTCATTACTATCTGGTGTCAAATTTTTAGTTGATCCGATTGTAAATATTGTTAACATGTACAATATTTTCAGCTCGATTACTCTGTTATGGATTCAAATTTAACAATCAATTAGATTATCTAACGATGTACTACGTGTAGTTATGAGCATTTGGTACCTAAGACGAAAAATGCAGCTTACCTCTGTTGGGGTAAAGAAAATACAGAGGCACCCTTGAGAACTGCTAGCCCTCCTGGAATTGCTGATGATTTCGTAAATCATTTTGAAATTAAAGCGTTTGACGCTTGCACGAATCCATACATTGGTCTTGCTTCGATAATTATTTCTGGAGTCGATGGATTGAGGAAAGATCTAAGCCTTCCAAAACCAGTAGGTAAGTTCAGCCAGGTACTTTACTCGTTCTGTTTCAATTTGTTTGTCTGATTTTGACTTGATTCGGAGTTTAAGAAAGTAAAGTAAACTTTTGAACCTTATCTTCTTAAACTAAAGGTATCAATGTACTACAATGTCCTTTAAAGAGTTGACAAATTAGGAAAGAATCATTCTTTTTGCAAAACAGACTAAAAAGGAAAAAACGACAAACAAGTTGAAACAGAGGGGAGTTAAGCTGTTGAGTATTTGAAAGAAATTCAATTGACGAGTTGTACAATTCCTTCACTATTATTTGATATTCAAACGATGTTTTTCTCGTGAAACAGAAGGGGATTCAGATGTATCTGGAGAGAATCTTCGAAGTGTACCAGATTCTATTTCTGAATCTTTAATTGCTTTAGAAGAAGATACATTGTTTTCAGAAGTGATGAGTGAAAACCTTTTGACCGTCATAAAAGCGATTCGAAAAGTACGTTTAACTTATATGCACCGTCAGTATAAATCATTTATTTCAATGTCATGTCATATTTAGAGTTAATTGTCTATGGTGAGTACCAAATACAAAAGAGTCTCTGTGAAAACATTCTGTTACAGAAATACAGAACAAGACTGCATATGACACTCTTGTGGTCTAGTTCTATAACGAACCCCTTGCATAGCTAGCGGGAACTTAGTGCACCGCGATGTACTTTCCAAAGGATGATTTTTTTGTTGTTGTTGCAGATGGAGGTAAAGAACTACTGTGAGCCTGAGAGGGACTACAATTTTTATGACCAGAACATCTATAAGGATCCACTCAAGGACATTATTTTCAAATTTTAGGTTAAATCGTATGTACTCGAATCTAAAATTTATAGTTAGTGAGTTTGAAAAAAAAGAAGCTAATACAGAGAGTCTCTTTTTAATATTTTGCTTCATATGACATGTTAGTAATTTTAGAAGAAAAAAATGAATAGTATCTTCTCCGATTTTTTTTAATTGTCATGATTACTGCGAGTAATTGAGTTAAATGTTTGTTATCTTACTTTTTTTAGTTTCATCTTAGTATAAAAATAAATACATTCTATTTGTTTATTTTAGAAAATCAAATGAGCTCGATCATTTTTTCTATACTATCCTTATTATTAAATAATTATATGAAATAACAACAGTTATATTTAGAATTCATAGTATTATTTATAAAGTTAATTTAATAGTATATATCTCTAATTACCATTTTTATATTTAGAATTCAAAGTATTATTTGTAAAATTAATCTAATAGTATATATCTCTAATTAGCATTTTTAAAGGGTATGTTAAATAAGTAAAGGTTAAATAATATGAAATGAAAGAGTAGATAATTAAGAAAGAACTCATTAATATTTTTCTTTTTCATATATCCTTATTTTAATGTGAAAAGGGATTAATATAGCGCAAGCAACCGTAGTAATAAATTGAGGTTAAAATAAATAAATAATTAGAGAATAGTTAATCCAAAATACTTTGTTATAGTCAAGAAAGAATTAAAATATTTTTTACATCTAACTTTACTCGAATAAATATACATGGAGAGAGAGATACTAATATAGTGAAAAAAATAATTTTCAACTACTATTATTTGATTATTGATAATTTCTTAAATAACGTATAAAATTTAGATATGACAAATAAAATGAATCGGGAAGGAAGTAAGAGTAACTCAACAGCCGGCAAAAATTAGTGAAAATGATTGGAAAATCAATAGATGAAAAAAGTGCAAAAGTAGCTGTAGCTTTGGAGGCTAAATGCATTTTTTTCAATTTTGCTGTAATTATGATGGCAATTTTCTTAGGAGTAATAATTA